TAAATGTTCCTAAATGTTAAATGGAAATCATAGGATACTTCCGCATGAGAAGATGTGAAAGAATCTTTGACTTTCTGTACCGTGGCTTTTATTTAGCCAGAAACATTCTGTTCCCTTTTAAGTACTTGAATGCTTCAGGCTACACAAATGTGTTCCTTGTTGCTAACATGTCACCTAAATTTGTATCACAAAGCTAGTGTGATCTGCAATTCAAGCGTCTGAAGAGCAGACAACAACAGTGTTTGTCTGTGCTCGCATGCTGTCTTTCATTGTCATGGCAGAGTCTTTTCCTTTTATATATGGAATGTTTCAGGCTTTAATATATCCAATATATTTTAGATTGCACTTAAAGGTGGGGTAGGTAAGTTTGAGAAACCGGCTCGAGATACACTTTTTGTTATATTCCATGGAATGCTCTTAACATCCCGATAGCAATGAATATCTTAAGTGCTTTGACAAAAAATCCATAAAAAAATGTCATCTGTGGAAGCCGTAATACTGTAAAAAGTACGACCAATCATTTTAGCCGGCCCGGCAAAAATAACTGGATGGCCGACCTGCCTGTCAGCCTTCCATCGGGGCACAAACTTATCTCGTGCCCTCATTGGTCATGTGCGCGTTCGTGTGTGTTGGAGGAGGGGCTCTATAAGGAAGTGGCAGATTTTCTCCGGTTGTGTATTTTCAAATTCTAGCGATCTCGAGCCGGTTTCTCAAACTTACCTACCCCACCTTTAAGAGTCATCATCTTTGATCAAGGGCCTTTTTCACGGCAGACATTTTGTCATGTACCTGTAGCAAAAGCACAAGTTTTAATAATGGCTTAGTTGCATTTAGCTATTTCAGTCTTAGGTTCCTTGTATTTTGCATTTTGGCTCACTTCCACACTGCAATGGCTTACAGGGACACTTTAATTTAACAGAGCCATTGCTAACGTTATTAGTTAAACTCTTCCTGCAATAATAAGTTAAAACGTCTACTGTAAAAATGGTCTATTAGCCTCCAAGAAAAGATCTTCTTCTAAGTAAAGAAAGCTGTTAAACTTTCATAAACTCAAAGTCCACAACAAACTATTCGGTGATGCTGGCCGTGTCTTTTTAAGCATTGAGGCATTACAAAGTCATTACATAAATAATTTGAAAGTCAACAGCTGAGATGCCCAAATATGTAAAGCTGGTGTGACTAAACCGCGCATCATTCCTAACAGAAACAAACAGCGGTTTCAATTCAAACCACCCCCTCGTGTATAAATATTGCTGTTTTTCCAGAATAGAGCATTACTTCGGGCAGTTTTTCTAATAGAAAGTACTGGATGAGTAAATGTTGCCTGGCAACCGAATGATGAGTTAAAGAAAACTGACCTTTTGTCTAATGCTACAGGATGAGTGCACACAATATGCACTGACAATGATTTTGCATATAATAAGTCTTTCGGACAGTGACAGCAAATGTTCTTTTCATCACAGTTTTTGGGCAGCAGGTGACCTAAATATGATCACAGAGAAGATGCAGCAGGTAGAGTTAAGGCAGGAAAGCGAGTAAACAGGTACCACAGCATGAAGGCAATATTCCACTCTGAGATTTGCATGAAAATACTAACCTAGATATTTACTGAAGTGCTAATAAAGGAATGAGCAGCAGCTGTGCAGGCAGGTGGCTGCAGACGGAGACATTCAGGTGAGGTCAGCGCACGGAGGAGGAAACTGGTGGACAGGTGTGTGTGGAAAATAATACACTATGAAGAGAATTTGAAGCTGTAGGTGGGGGGGGTGCAGGCATCTCCATGACAACGTTAGACACCTACAGTATTGTTCTATCGAAGCTGATGTGCAGTTTATAACAGACCTGCATATTGATTGTGCCTGCCAGACATGGCTGGTGCAGATTGGAAAGTGAACATCCTGCGACTTCACTGGCAAGCTTTTATGTACCTCAACTTATTCAGTGATCGTGATGTTTTGTTAAATGTTTGTTCCCTTGTATCTTGTCTTCAATATTTTTCCTGGATGAAATGGAGCAAGAAAAATGTCAGACGTAAGCTGACAATAAAGTATTATCGTATCTGCAGTAAAGTACAAGGACTAAGAGTGAAGGTGTTGTTAAGACACTCTTTTCTGAGCAGTACCTCAACTCTCTGTCTTCAGTGTCAGCTAAGGGTCAGCAGGGTAGACTATGGTTGTGTTCCTGCTGTGCAATCACGATAACAACAATTATTTTTGACTTCAGCTCACTAGCAGGTAACAGTAGCCTCCTGAGCAGCAGCAGCAGCTCTGTGTGGAGCCCACGGGGGGGATCATGTACAGCAGAGTGCACACGGCCCCATCCACCTGCTGTTGACCTGTGCCTATTGTTGAGTGACTGCTACCAGACATGTGTTAGGAAAACTGGCCATGTGACTGACATTTTTATATGTGAGGTGGGGGCTGTGGGGAAGGAAGTTTGTGGTTACTTTTGTAGTCGCTGCCCACCTGCTGTTTACTGCAACACATGGTTATAAACGTAGGAAACTTCTTAACATTCAGATGTCACTGCATCTTAAAGTGCTTTAGTTACTGATTTCAGTGATTATATATAATGAAACTCATATATATATATATAAACTGTACATAGTTTACACATCAACGTTAGGTTTTTCAAACTGACTTTCTTCACATAAATTGCTGTACAGAAAAGGATCTGGGCAGAAAATGGAAAATCTGTGGGTGTGGAGTTAGAAAGAAGTGAATTTAGCAGATCTGTGTAGCCCGCTCCTCATCTCTGCTTGAGGCTAGCAGCCCAGGATTACATTGCAGAACTATGGATACTCTTGCATTGTGGATAGGTGCCAAGTTGTGAAGAAGAAAGAAGAATGTGTGGAATAAAACAAGACACAATGCCTGAGCTTTCATGTATGATCATTTATAAAGAATGGACCAAAACACAAGGACTGCTTTTGAGTGCAGAAATAGCATTTTCTTATTCTAGTGGGCCTTGTTAGACTACAGTGATAGACAAAATGTGTGTGCCGCCTGTGAAAGGCTGTCAGGCTGCAACATCTGACACATGGAAGTGTGTGTTGGCAAAGTACATTGCTGCCTTCCACAATGTCCTTTCTGATCCAAACAATGGGTTTGTTAACAATCTGAGATGTCCACATGTTGTGCTTTAAACTTATTTTTAAAGGGGCTTATTTTCAGAGAAAGAAAACTCCCTCTGGAGGGAACTTTGAGATGTTATCCTTTGCAGACCATGCACAAAAACCTATATAACACACTACAGGAAAATGAAAACCCCAGAAAGCATAATAGGGCCTGTTTAAGGAATATTCTGCTCATTTTAAGCCTGCCTTCTATCAGCAGTTCAGAAAGTTAATTTAATTCAGCGGCAGGTTGGGTAATGGAAATATTCATCTCAGAGCCAGGGTGTATTGTAAATGTGTGGAGGAGAGGGACTTTAAATCTGTCATGAAGTCATCTGTAACAGTAGCAGCTGTGAATTTAAAACCCTTTAATACTGTCTCCTTATATCTCACAGTAATAGATGTGTCTATTATTACTTTGTAACTGATGAGTAGGGCCCGGCACATTTCTGGTAACATTTGTGTTTCAATGTGTTTTCGGGGACAATTGTGTCAATGAGCACATGTTGTGTTTCATTTTAGTGACATAACCAGCACATATTGAAGGTCAGGGACCTCCTGATGTGTGAAACAGTTATAGTCCCACTGCTCAGTGTTTTAACACACTGTCAGCCTCACCACTCAATAATGACGATGTTATTGAATATGTTTTCTGGAGTTTCTCTCCACCATCCCACTAGTTGGTATTTCACAATGGGCTTTAAAAGGATTAGCACTCTGCTGCCAACAGCCACCAGCAGACGGAGGGGGGGGAGGGGGGGGGGGGGGGGGGGGTGGGGTGGGGGTGTGTGTGTGTGTGTGTGTGTGTGTGTGTGTGTGTGTGTGTGGGTTCGTGTGTGTAGGTGTGTGTGTGTGGGTTCGTGTGTGTAGGTGTGTGTGTGTGGGTTCGTGTGTGTGTGTGTGTGTGTGGGTTCGTGTGTGTGTGTGTAGGTGTGTGGGTGTGTGTGTGTGTAGGTGTGTGTGTGTGTAGGTCCGTGTAGGTGTGTGTGTGTGTAGGTCTGTGTAGGTGTGTGTGTAGGTCCGTGTAGGTGTGTGTAGGTGTGTGTGTAGGTCCGTGTGTGTGTGTGTGTTATATGAAACCCATAGGCAGGTCTGGATCCTCTCATATAAGCCTCATGCCTCAGAGACTTATGCAGATGATGTGATGGACTGGGCTTTTGTGGTGCACTCAGTCGTAGCCTTCTGCTATGGCCAGTGACCTTGTCAGGCATTTACTCAAAGATATACTGCGCCATACGATACAGTCTGTTGATTGGATTGTTCATTGTCACTGTCATATTTTATTTAGCATCTTTACATGCAGGTATTTTCTTCTCCAGAGAGTTTATTTGTTGATATTCTACCTCCCCACAGTGTATAAATGGACCGTTGTGTGTGCCTTTTGCAGTGCTAATAGCTGTTGAAGTGTTTCGAGAGGCTGCAATTGTTTTCCTTTTTTACGCATTTTCAGTTGTCTCACTATGAGGTCTGATGAATACAATCTATTTACAATGTAACTGTTTTCATTTACAATGCATGAAATAGCTAGAGAGCAAAACAACTGTCGAATATAGAATGGACTCACAGCTATTCCCTTTTTGTGTGTGCTGGCATGACTGCTTGTGAGGCACAGTCCCCCCATTGTAAATCGAACTGTTTCAAGTTGAACTGAATAAAGACTCAGTCCTTTTAGAATTAACTTGAGCTCCAGCTTTAATTTAGCTGCTGTGCCGGGTCAATTATATTTTATAATAGTAAATCCTCTCATTTGGAGTGTTTGGAGGGGAATTGAGTTCAATTAATTTGTCTCACTGTTGGTCTCCTTGTCTCTCCCTCTCATTCTCTCTATCCTCCCTTTTGCCCTCCCGTTCTCTTTTCTCTTCCCCTCTTCTCTCTCTTCTCTCAGGTGTCTGGCCCAGTGATTCAGCCCCAGACAGGAGCAGGAGGAAGCCGTGGAAAGGAGGGCCATGGGGGTGAGTCTGGGCCAGGATGTAGGCTGGCTCCTGCCTTTCCTGTTCTTGCTTCTCATGATCACAGTGTCACCCAGCCATGCTCAAGGATGTCCCCAGCGTTGTGATTGCATTGCGAAACTCAAGACTGTGTCCTGTTTCGGTAAACGCCTGTCCTCACTGCCAGATGGCATCCCAGGGGACACCAAGACCCTGGACCTCACCGGGAATAAACTTCGCTGGGTGGAGCATGGTGACCTGCTCCCATTTACACGTCTTGAAAAGCTGGACCTGAGTGAGAACATGATCAGTGTCCTCGAACCGAACGCTTTTTCTAGTCTCCAGAACCTCCAGTCGCTTTCACTGAGGAGCAACCAACTGAAGCTGGTCCCCATGGGGGCTTTCTCACGTCTCTCCAACCTGACTTCATTGGACCTCAGTGGGAATAAGATTGTAATTCTTTTGGACTTTACTTTCCAAGATTTGAAGAGTCTGACAAATCTGGAAGTTGGAGACAATGATTTAGTTTATATTTCCAACAAGGCCTTCCTGGGTCTAGTGGGGCTGAAGGAGTTAACCATTGAGCGGTGCAACCTGACGTCTGTGTCCAGCCAGTCTTTGTCCTACCTGCAAAACCTGGTGACTCTGCGCCTGCGCTACCTCAGCATCTCCAGCTTAGAGGACCAGAACTTCCGTAAACTGGGAAACCTGAAGGGCCTTGAGATCGATCACTGGCCCTTCTTGGAGCACATTGCCCCTCACAGCCTGCAGGGTCTCAACTTATCTTGGCTGTCTATAACTCACACTAACATAACCACTGTGCCCACATCCGCCCTACGCAGTCTGGCACATCTCACCAGCCTCAACCTCTCCCACAACCCCATCTCTGTGCTGGAGTCCTGGGCGCTGCGGGACCTTATTAGGCTGAAGGAGCTGCATCTAGTAAACACAAATCTGGTGGTGGTGCAGCCATATGCGCTTGGTGGTCTTAGGTCCATCCGTCTTCTTAACTTCTCCAATAACGGCCTGGTGTCCCTGGAAGAGGGAGCCTTTCAGTCCGTCAACACTCTGGAGACGCTGCGTTTGGACGGGAACCCTCTGGCCTGCGACTGCCGCTTGCTATGGATCCTCCAGCGCAGGAAGACCCTTAATTTTGACGGCGCCTCCCCAGTGTGCATGTCGCCCGTGGAGGTGCAGGGACGGGCGCTTAACGCTTTTTCCGACTCAGCTCTCTTTGATCACTTTACCTGCCAGAAGCCCAAAATCCGCAACAGGAAACTGCAGCAGGTTACTGCCCGTGAGGGACAGGTGGTGTCTTTCATTTGCAAAGCAGAAGGTGAGCCGGCACCGATGATATTCTGGATCTCTCCTCAACGCCGCCGCATCACCACAAAGAGCAGTGGCCGCCTCACAGTGTTACCAGAGGGCACTTTAGAAATACGATACGCACAGGTGACAGACAGTGGGACCTACATCTGCATAGCTAGCAATGCTGGTGGCAATGACACCTATTTTGCCACACTTACAGTCAGTGGGCTGCCTCTAGATGCAGCTCTTATGGCCAACCGCACGTATTATGCTGGAGACCTTAATGACACGAATCTGAATGACACCAGAGTCTTCTTGAAGTTTACTTTGGACCTACAGACCATCCTCATATCCACGGCTATGGGCTGTATCATGTTCCTGGGGGTGGTTCTCTTCTGTTTCATTCTGCTCTTTGTGTGGAGTCGAGGCAGAGGGCAGCACAAGAACAATTTCTCAGTGGAGTATTCCTTCAGAAAGGTGGATGGACCCGCTGCCAGTGGAGGGCAGGGTGGGGCACGCAAGTTCAACATGAAAATGATTTGATTATTCTGGACTGTTTCTCTCATTAGTGTTGTTTACAAGCAGTTTCAAGCTAAAGGGACAAGACACTGGATTAGACTTTGTGCTTGAAAATCATTTAATACTGTTATTTATAGGACATTTTATTGAGGAAAAGGTTTGTTACCAAAACTACTGTATATGCAGTATGAGATCAAGAAAATCTGCATGGATTTGATACGTGTATTTCTATTGCTTAGTTGTGCGTTGTCATTTATTTGCAGAAGAAACCTGGATCATTAATGTGTAAAAGATGTCTCGAATAGACTGTTAAAAGCAACAAAATCAGTCCCACCAGTCTTTAACCTCGACAAATCTCTTGCCAACTCAATCCTCCTGCCCTACAAGGAACTCTGTCCTCTTCATCTCGCTGCTCCATCTGAGGTGATGCAAGGTCTCCAAACTCATGAATACATTATAACAAGGTGGTGCTCAAGGAATGCCAATAACTTGCCAATATGTATTTGAAGAGTTCCAGCTATATACTGCATATTTAGACGTATTTACAGTCAGGACTTTAGAGCACTTTTGTCACATAAATACAGAAGCGCTTATTTTTTGCTGATGTTAGGTTTGTATAGATTACATTAGACTCTGCAACACTGCCAATTTGACTGGAAAAGCACCATGAAATGTGGTGAAGGGAAGTGACTTCTCATTGGATACCACTAAACGTTGGTCCAAGCCGTTTCAATCACAGACAGCATTCTGCCGGTTAGGTTTTCAATTGTTTATTCAGTACACTGTTCTATCCTCCTGGTATACAAAAAAAACGTTTGTAAAAGAAAAACGCATGTACAGAGTTGGCTTCTTACTTTGTGTATTATTTGTATATTTAACACTTGTTGGGATGCGTTCATCCCTAAGCTGAGTATATCATACTGTATAGGTAGAATGAATATATATATATATATATATATATACTGTATAGGATGTATTATATGTTTTGTTATCATTGACATTCTTGTGATTGTTTATAGTACTGTGATCAAACCGATGTTTCAATTCTACTGTAATTCTACTGTTAAAATATCTGTTTGACATCATTGATGTCCAATCCACCTTATCATGTCCTCAAATCCCTGAGCTCACAGAACAAATTATGAAGGGCGTTTACATAAATGTTCCGCTCACTTGTCTATTTTTGGTTGTAGATGACAGTGGGGAACCAGACTGACCAGTGAGATGTTAAGTGGGTTCTCTTCAGGACTTTCAGTCACGCAGGCGTACAATTAAAATATGATGAAGGTCATAATGTAACAGAGGGAGGAGAGCTAGAGAAGGTGACATCGCTTCAATAAAACAAAAGGCTGGATGGTAACTTGTAACAACATCCTGATAAACTGCAAAGCATTTTGTAAAAGTAACAATGGTTATGTAGATGATTCCAAACTGTTTCAAATATATTGATTAAAATAATACAAAGAATGTAAATCAGTGTATTTTGTTCCTTAGGATTAATAGTTAGTCCTGGCACGTACGTATGTGTCAGTGTTGGGCCTTGCAAAGCAATTTGTGGTAGTTTCAATACTTTATGAAAGGCAGAAACTGGGAGTAATGCAGTGTCCTTCATAGTTCAGAGTCAGACAAAGCTTAGTGAGAGTGAGCACAATGAGTTCCTGTTAATATTCTCACCTCAAATAATATCTCTGTCGGAGTTGGGAACAAATATTCTGCAGCTGTAACAGTGTTACTCTGCTGCCCTCTGTCGCTCAGAGACGGTACTGCAGTCTACACTTTTAATGGAATTTGACCTGCAGTATTTCAAAATAAATTGATTCCTTCCTTGGCCTATGCTCTTTCACTAAGTTTCATGAAAGTCTGGCAGGTATATTTTCCGTAGTCCTGCTGACAAACACACAAACAAACCTAAAAAATGTTTTGTTCATACACATATACAACGCACAACAATTTTAACAGATTAAATTCACAATATGGACTTAATAATTATGAACTGTAAATATGTTACCGGACTGATTTGACATCAGTTAAGTTTTAGAAGTGTAAAACAACAAGATACTGTTCATTGTCCTCTTCTGATATCATCCTGTAAATATGAAAACCATTGTGTCTGGAAATTGTGCTAGACTGTTTTGTATTGTACTGTTTTATAAAAATGAAGCACACTCTTTATAAAGCATGCTTAATGTCTGCTATGGTGATGTCTTTGCCCTGTCCCATTTTTATAGTAGTCATCTGGTCACGCAACACCGACATATACACATACACCTGTGACCCCGTCACTGTGAAATAGTGTTGCAAATTTGTATTTTATTTCCAGGAGTTCTTCATATTTAAATGTTTTAATCAAATGGATGGATGTCCCATGTACATGCCACATTAAGATATACTTTCATGATTCACTCAAGTTAGTGATGTTTGTATAAATACTGCATAGACTTTATGAGAAGAGTTATTATTGTTCATTTTCTATGCATTCATCATAACAAAAATTACAAAAATAAAACACATTTTTGTGAGCACAAAGAAATAGTGTTGCATTCTTGGTTTTATGTGTTTATGGATCCAGACTGTTCGTTTTGTGTTTAAGTTGAATTTATTGGAATCAGTGTAACTTATAAAACTGAAGTAAGCCCAGTGGGTGAAGTTAGTTTACAGTGTACTGATGTTCTGACTGGTAAAAGGTCAATAAAAGACTAATTAAAACGTATATACACTTCAGCAAACATTGATGAGGAAGTAGAGTAAAAGAGGAAGATGCTCTGCCCCCAGTGCTCTTATATGTATTTAAATCTGTTCCAATTATATCATTTTTAAAGTGCATCCACCCAAATGTGTTTTGATTATTGTTTCTTACCTTAAATGTTTGCCTAAACTGTACTGAATGATGAGTCCCGCTAAGATCCAAGTCCAATATGCAACTTGTGATGTTAAAACTTGACTTAAAAATGACTACCAAGTAGACCTCATGGTCTAGTTAGTTGCATTCAAATATTTGACAACACAACATCTCCTATAAGGATTCAGTCACAACGAAAGTCCGAGCACATGATTCATACATCACGATCATCAGTCAGCGACAGCTCGTGCCCTGTGGGTGGGGGTATTGCCACCATATGAACAGACCTCTAAGAAATATTTCACCAAATGCAGATGACACTATTAACTTTGTGTTGCTTTTTAATGACCACCATCTTATGATACCAGGGGATCTAAACCAGGCCAAGAAAGGCCCCTCAAGGATTCACACATGATCCGCTCTCTTGGTGCTCGACACTTTAGCACCCTCCGATACCCGAATATGACTCATCTTAACATATTGCTTTTTCCCAACACCTCGAGCCCGTGGTTTTTGCACCTCTGATGCCTCAGGTGTCACTTATATCATCGCTTTCTTTTTGTCTTGATCCAAAATCAAGCCTTCCCAGCATATGTAATGTATGCATATAAATAAACCTTAACTGTACTGAACTATGTGTTTCAGGTCAAATCCAAGTCCAATATGCATATTTATGCATATTATATGATGTGGGGTCTTAATTGTATCATATACTACTATCCCTGTATTGAAGAATCTGTTATGATTCTCAACTCATTTATTCAAGTCTCTTCTAATAGCAAAAGTCAGTGTTCTAACAGCAAAAGATAAGAGACCATCTTGTTAACCACTTAAAATGTGTGAAAAAAAGGTGCTAAATGTCTGAACATGATTCTTCTCAAAGCTGCCCTTTTTGTAGATAAGAGACCATGAGTGACTGAGACCACGAGTTGTTGCTTGTGGCCACAGCTTTGTTTAGTTAGAAGAAACCATTTATGATTCACTTAATGATATACTAAATTATTGATGTGCATTACACTGCAGTTTTATTTAAATGTTACTCTCCGGTGAAGATTTCAAGAAACTCCCATCCTAGCTAGACATTTAGCCAAACTACATTAAATTTGATCAGGAAATTATTAAATGATTCTTCTCTTTTACTGGAAATCACTGTGATTCCATTTTTTTTTGTAATCCTAAATAAAACATCTGAAACTCCCCCCCCTCTTTGTTAAGAGTTGACTGTTGTCTTCTATGCTGAGAAGGTTCAACTCTCTGAAGAGGAATTATCACATGTCACCAACATTTCAGATGAACCACCGAGAGATGTGTCATCAACACGCATTAGAGACACGTTAGACTTTAACATGTCATTATTACGATGGATTCATAATGTATTTCATTTACTTTGAGTAGACTGTCTCTCTTATTTGGTTTAGAGGGGAAATGTCAGAATGCACTTTAACAGGCATAATCTCTACTTCTCTAGAGCTATTTCCAGATATACATGGGAACAATGATGGGCAATTGAAATGATGTAACTAAGTGTGTGTGTGTGTGTGTGTGTGTGTGTGTGTGTGGGTGGGTGTGTGTGTGGGTAGTAGTCACACCTTTTCTGTTACCATGGTGTTGAAACGTTGGTGGTCTAAATGGGATTGTAGTGGTTAGCAGTTGCAGAACAAACTATAAACCTGAGAATAGAGAGTGCACATATTTCCATCAAGGTACTCCTTTTAAATACACTGGATGATAATGAAACCAAATAAATCCCTCTTACTCTGATGTATTTCATATCAGCTGCTGATGAACCCCAGATTTATAAATGTCTCTTTATGACTTACAGTTAGTTTGCCATAATAACTTAAATGTCATGCAATTCATCTCTATTTGCAACTTAGACCCATCACACACTGTTTAGTTTTGGTTTCTGAACTTATTCATTAGTTTCACAAGATTCAGTGGTGACTGGTGAGGTGCAGTGAATTATCTGCCACATTGACGTGCTGGTGATGGTGAGGTTGCAACATTTGAATTAAATAAATCTTGTAGAGAAGAAGTAAAACGGCCAAGTAAAGGATTTGTATCCATCAAAACTTGATTTATTTTTGTAGTTCATGGCCACTAAATGCAAAGATCCCTGGCCTCTTATAACTGAAAACAGGGCCAGACTTCTGAGTTTTGGTTAAAAAACAGAAAGAAAAACTGAGCAGCCTTTTAACATTGACACCAAAGATCAGCCAGATGTAGATTTAATTGCAAAAGGACACTTACCATTTTCATGTTTTAATATTAATGTCTTTCCTTGCATACCAGTAGTAGCAATGAACAGGAACAACACTGGATCACTGCCATGTCTTCACATTATAATTCTGTTTAATAAGAAACATAATGCTCAGGGCTTATGCTCTGGGCCATTAGGGAGTCTGAGGTGCCAAGAGGGATTTCAACTATATTTATATCAACTTCAAGTTAACAGTATTTTAGCTTTCTTGGACTGGGATCTTACCCTAACAAAAGCATAATAATGCAGCATGGCCTACCCAGCAAGGACACAGCCTTTTTCAACTTCTATAGTCTTATGTGAAAGAACAACACAAGAGATATTATAGAACTATTTTAGAAATGTAGCCTCGTAAATGCAAATTCTACAAGTTTTACATATGTTAAATTAGAACACCTTTGACCAAGCCTATAGATAAAAGTAAACTTTCCCTGGCCCTCACTTAAAAAAATACTGGCTTTTGGTAATCACAGAAAGCAGAGATTTGAACCACTATTAAGACGAAAGCAGTCACACCAACATTTATTTGGCAAGCTTTGTTTTGGTAAAGTAACATTTATATAAAAACAAAAACAAAAGAATGCCCATATTCAAATTATTTTAAAGAATCCTTCCCGATTACCGGAATCACACAGGTGGCTGTTTGATTCCCTACTCTACTCTTCACTGTAAACTTGTTTGTACACAAAATATACAGTAGCCTATGATATTATATTCTTGAATACATAAAGGAAAATAAAAACTGAAACGCACTTACGGTAAAGCCCTTTGCCGATAGGTCAGGTGAACCTTTACAATTAAAGATGGCGACGACAAGATTCTAATGAAATTAGCCTCGGCTAACACTTCCTGCTCCTCAGCTCACAGGCTCCTAACTGGGATTACAGCACAATAAACGGGTTTAAAAGGTTTTCAAACATCCAAAGTAGAAGACCAACATGTACAGTTTGGCCCTCTTCGGACTTGTAAGTATATATCTCACTTTGACTTAATTACAATAACATTTTCAAGAAGTAAAAATGTGTGTTCCTAGCTGTTAGCATTGTGAAGTGTATGCTAGCTGCTTTTTAGGAGTTAAGCTAAAAACACGACATCTTCATTTGCTGAACTCTAAATGAGGTAGAAGCTAAGGGTTATAAAAACACACTAAATGCAACAGTTACATATAAATAATGTAAGGGAATTAAAACAGTAGTTTGAGGGTACCTGTATGAACATTTAGCACTCATGGTGTGTCTACAAAGACTACCACCTTCTCAGACTAACATAAACAACTTATACCTTAAGTTTCTAATGCCTGTAAAGGTAAATCAATTGGCCTTGTAACATAGAAAATGACACTTTTAAATATGAGGTGTGGAAGAAAGACATTTGAATGATAACATGTTAAACATGGAGCTGTTTTTATCTTATCACGTCTGTTTTAAATATCCAAAACACTCAACAATTTATTATTTTATTTTTCATTCCACATCCATGTACCGATACCCCTCTATTTTCATGCAATATTATCAGCTCCATTTTATCAAATCATTTTTGTTACTTCCACCCCTCAGATTGTACCACCTCCAATTTTTTAAAACATGATAAGAAATGTTTGATAGTCCTGGCCTTAAACACAACTGTTATATATTTCTAAAACACTTTGTAGTCAGCTGCTCTCTCGTGCCTACACTCCAGAATTTCTCTGAGCGAGCAGCAATTTCGCCATCAGTGCTGTCAGGCAAAGAGCCAGAAACCAGCTGTAGCCCCGGTGGGTTGCTGACTCACAAATAAACTGAAAGAAACAACAGATGTCAACTGGAAGAAGAGAGCCGTAAGCTACAGTCTGTGTTACCTAAAGCAATAGCTTTACTGTTGTTCTCTGGACCGGGGACTATATATTTTCAACAAGCCTTCAGTCTCCCTGAGGCTGCAGAGCACTGAAGAGTTAGCCTCTGTATGAAGACACAGCTTCTATGTCCTTTTCTGTTCAGGAAAGCAAGTGACATGGTGATTTAAACATTAGATTTTGGGTTATGGAGGAAGTGAGGAGAGATTTTCCGACATTATTAACAATCAGGTTTGTAAAAAAACAATGTAGACTTAAATATTTAGTTGTTTTAAGCTTTTAATGTTGTATACATATTTAACAAAATGTCATCCCCAAGCTTATTGGAATATTAGAAGATTCAAACACACTTTATGTAGGAAGGTGACTAGTTCTGCCCACACAGGAAACCCAAAGAAATGCCTCATCACACTTCACTGTTTCCATTTTAAGGGAGGTTGTAGGCAAGTGAAACCATGTGATGTCCTTTTTTTTTAAGTCAATGGGTTTGTCTTTTTAAAATCAAAAGAAATGTGCATTGTAAGATCTTTTCAATTGTTAAAAAGGAAATTGTTTGTGCAGCTTGGATTGGTTGGATAGTTTTTAGTCTAGTCCTAAGTGAGCTGTAATCTTTATAACACACAATTCGACATCTTCTCAACTTTGTCATTAGAGCGCTCGCAGAGAAAAGCTGAAGTAGTTTCAGAGCTCTATTTTTTTTGATGTGTGGTTTGAACTTATACCTGATTGGAATCTATTTGAACACCTACTTACATTTTCTGCCGTAATGTTCTTAATGTGGCTGTAGTGTGTTACTTTGTAACAGTGCTTCTTTGAATGCATTATGCACTATTTATTAACAAAAATAAAGCTCTTGAATTACAGTCAGCAGGAAAATATGACTGTAAATAAAGCGAAATTTAAGAATTTAGTTTCTCAGTCAATATGTAGAGTGGACAAACCTTTGTGTTTTTGGATAGAGAAGTTCCGATGGAATTTATTTTACTTATCGATACCTGGACTTTAAAAACTGAAATATATGATTATTATTATTTTAACAGCTGTATAATACTAATCCTATATGGCTGTGATCATTGTTGTAAAGCATTGCTCAGGTTAAAGCTTTGTAAAACATTTACAAAAACATACACAAAAAATGAATGCCAAACAACTGAATATTTGTCACACTCATCTCTGGTGAGAGTTGAATAAGCACAGTAGAGAAGAGGGCAGTGAGTTTAGCTGATAAATGATAAGATAACATTATATCGTTTTACTGAATGGACTCTCATACTCCACCAATACCAGATCCAGCATTTTAGGCTGTAACCGAGGAATACAGGTATCAGTATCGGAGCAAGGATCTAGGAATCGATTGTCAATCGGACATGTATTGTCTGGTTGGAGAGTAGTTTCTATCCCCTCTGGAGGTGATTTTGCCAGGTGGAGATGGCCAGGACCGGGACAACACCCCAGGGTCCTGCTGCTCCTCATCCTCATCTGAAGCAACTTTGGTAGGAATTGGCCTCAGGAGGGGAGCTCCAGGACGGGATGAGTGCAGGAGATCTTGAGAGAGGAGAAGGGGAGATAGGAAGCCAGAACCCGTAGTACTGGACGCGTTCAAATATGAATAGCCTCTCATGGCATGAAGGGCATAAGCAGGGATGAAGAGAGGGTGAGGTGGTTGGTGTCTGGGCATCACAGGGTCTCTGCCACCCCAGTAATAGTCCCTCTGAAGGGCCTGGTGGTGTGTGTGCAGGTGGGGGTTTGGGTGAGCAGTGTAGGCTGCAGAGGGGACCAGGCCAAAGCGCAGTTTGATGGCCATTAATTCAGCACTAAGTCTGGTGTTTTCTTCTTTCATGGACAGGAGATGAGTCTCCAGCACATAGTCGTTCATCCTTCTCTTCTCCCGAGACCGCTTGGCTGCGTCGTTGTTCTTCTTTCGTTTCTCCCAGTAGAGGTCATCCTTCTTCTCGTCAGGTATGAACTCTCTTTTGCGACGAGCTCCCTTATGACCCAATCCCTCTGTCACTTGTAAAATATGACCATCTCGGCCTCCATGTAAGAGTGACGACAGGGTGTCCATGCTAGATGCAAAAGGGAGTAACAACCAACCTGAAATCAAAAGGAAAGTTGTGAGTCTTCTGTGGGAGGTTGAGTAATACCGTCTTGTATAATAGTAACCTTATCTGATTTGCATTTACCTCTTCTTATCTTGGTTTGCCTTCGATGAAAGCACCGTAGTATTTCTGAATGCGGTGACGGCTGAAGTCTGAGAGACTGTAGACACGTGATATCCACAGCTGTCTTTAAAAGGGGAAAAAGGGTCATGATGAACAATGAGTCATGTTGAAAAATGTATTCAAGTACTGCATCTGTTGGTTTTGAGTGTAAAAATCTAATTGAATTGTGTTGAGATAGAATAAGTCGAAACAGGGGTGATTTCGGCCCACACATCTTCCGTCGCAGACTGAAAACCCACATGCACCTTGGCCAATACATTAAAAAAAAAAAATTCTGTACCTGTATGTCAAAAGGACTCTGGCCATTTTAGCAAGAAATCGCCAATGGGTAGAAAGTTACTATGAGGTTGTGCATATGTGTTTTCTCTCAGAAAAGCTCCAGAAGCTACAACAGCCCACTCAGTTGCGCCTACTCTGTCTAGCGCCTCCAGCATTCAAACCTCCCCCTTCCTGACCTCACCTCACCTCACCTTCTACCCGTCTAGACCACACGAAAGAATGTGATGGGAAACAAGCAGACTGAGAAAATGTGTTGTTATCAATATTCTCGTAAATATGTAGTTGTTTCTGCTGCAACATGCATAGTTACATATGTCAAACAGAGGCTAATGTACTAATCAGCACCACAGGTTGTTGAGAGCTCACTTTATGCAGGTTAAGTTCACTCCAAAATGTACTTAGAATTATGCAGAAACCTTGTCACTTTGCAAAGTAAATTTGTTTAAATGATACAGCATTTTTTGATATTCCAGATAGCATTTTTGAGTATTGATATTGAACCTAGCATATGATTCAGTTGAGTGAAGTGGGGATACTTGAGCTTGTCTTATAGAAATGATATACAGGTTGTCATCAAGACTTTTCTGTAGTTGAGTTTGAGTCTAACAGTCTTTGTGTTTCTCACTTTATCCACCCAGTCACCACTTCCCCCTACTCCATCTCTTTTATCTACTTGCCTCTCTTTACTCTTCGAAACTGTGGGGAGAAAAAGCAGTCGGTAAAGGTTTGTCCGCAATGTGACATACGGCAGAACGTAAAAATCTAACTGGAAGACATTATTGAATAACAGGTCTGAGAGTAATGCATGAAGCTTCTAATACAATCTCTTTCATTTGTGTAGGTTTGTGGCTGGTTTCATGGGAAGCTGTGCAAGAAAGATGAGCATTGTGTTGAAAACCACAGCCAGCCCTCTGTGTGCGTGCAATAAGCAGAAACTCACACTGACCCACACACACTTTACGCTTACACACGTGCCTTTTACCTCATTGATGTTCTCCTCACACCTTGTTCTTATTCTAACAACGGATAAAGTTAATTTCTAATCAGACATCATGCTGCACTCTATTGCAGCTACATGCGTCACCTCAGAAAGGAACTGTGAAATAAACTGTCGCTCAGGATTTCACACATGAGGAACCAAATCTCAAACCATAACCTCACGGTCTATTACCTCAAACATTCTCATGCAGTGTCCTTTTTCTAAGTAACTTCTCATTTGTAGTTATGTGATTCACACTCAGTAACTTCTCAGCATATTCACAGGCCTTAAAGTCAAATGTTGACGTGCCAGTCGGTCTGCTAAAAGCATCAAAACAAAAGTTTCAAAGAGGCCATGCAGCCCCTGCGGTGGTTAGAACACACATCAGGTTAAAAATATTCAAGCATATGCCCAACAAGAGCGAGGACCCGAAGCCCGAATGTGTTTGTCTGAGTGACATGTACACCTGCATATGCGTGACACAAAGACTTAGCGTTGTATGATGTGCTAGCAAACCCAAAAAAGCAACAGCAGGAAGAGAGAAAACAATAATCACACAGGGAGACAGAGAGAGAGAAAGAAAAAAAGAGTGGGTTCCTGAATGAAATCTCTCTTGAGGCTCGGCCTGCTTTCTACTCTGCTCAACATGTGCACCTGTTTCTTATTGACTAATTATAGCCCGCCTGCTTTTTAGTAAGGAACTCTCTAACTTCTTCTTTTTGAGTCTATCCGTTTTCTCATACCTAACCATCTGCTGTTGTGCAGCTACTGTTATAACAACTACCTTTTAGGAGAAGGAATTTGGTCATTTTGTGGCCTTCCCTCTTCTATGTTCATGTCTATTGTTAACTGCCATTGTGGAAGTTAAAGTACATCGGATGCTCTCTTGAGGGAATAATGTTTTTTCACATAGTTATTGACTAGAATGTTCTGTTAAACGCATCAATTCATTGAAGGGCATTGCTATTAATTCATAATTCAAACTTTGTCCTGCGCTCGTCATATATTGTAAATGGAAGGCAACATTGAAATATAACATTTACTTTTGAAACTGATGGGGAAATACCTGTAATGTATTTACGGCATCATAAAAAGAGGAAACAAGTGTTTGTATGAAGAAAATGTGGTCCTAAACCATCATGTATTAATGCATGGTTGAACACCATCATATCAAATATATTTATTGAGTTCAAGATTCTGCTTTTAACCAATTATCCTATTTTCTTTTATCAACATAGTGTACTGTAGGAGGCTGATTAATACTTTGTTTTCTTTTAAATCATCAGTCTGAGATGTACAGCTCTATACCAGCTTGTCTATATAAAGGGTTGTGGAATTTCAACAAGACCGAACTCCTTGAAATAGTAAAATAACTTTTGTAGCTTTTATTCGGTAAAGTACAAGAGCTGTTGTATCTCTGAGTTTGGAAAATGGTGGTTGCGGCATTTATAACGGTTATGAAAATTTAAACGCTGTTTCTCATGCGGTGTTTGCAGCCGACCATAATGTGAGACTTCGAACATTGTGTTATGCAACCAGGACCAAAATATCCTGTAAGAAACCTTTGTGACTTGTGTGATACTTGTGCACAGATATTAACTCCAATAAGGCCCAACAACAAAAAACGTAAACTGTTCACTCATGTTGTGTGTTGGACATCAATGTTATGAACGGTATATTTGTATTATTATCATCAAATTGGGATGAACATGCCTGTCACACATGATCAGCTTTCTAATGTATTTATCACAGTAGAGCTTTACTCTGACATCATTCTACTTTTTTTCACTCAGTAATACGGCGTACACTTTACACGACAAACTTTTGTGTTAGGAGCTCCTTCTGGTATCCTCAAAATGAACGTTGATTTCTTTTAAGATAATCTCAGATCATTTTCCAGTTGTAAATCAATTGTAATCGCTATTTTAATAGTTGAGTAACTTTTAAGGTAATTCTTCATGCAAATGAGAATGCTTAATGTCTCATATTTCCTGCTTTTCTCTGTTTTATGTCATTAAACTAAATATCTTTGGGTTTGAGGCTGATAAAACAAGACATCTAAGATATTATCTTGGACTTTGAGTAACTCGGATTGACTTTTTTGACTTTTTATAGATCAAATATCAAGAGTATAATCAATTGATTAACAATAGTTAGTTGCAGCTCTGCTAAACAACCAGATAACCAGATAACATTTTGACCTTCGGTTTCCTGTTCATCTATCAAGATTATTATGGTTTCATATATATTTTGAATGTTCAGTACTCTACCCAGTTAGTCATGTTATAAAAACATAATCAATATTTTACCTCCTTGTAATTTATCTTGATATTTACAAGGTAGAAATACTTCCTCTTCCTCAAACAATCATAAACATTTCCTGTTAACCTACTCTTTATTAATTGATTTTGATATTCAATACAAATATGAAATGTGAGAAGCTTCACTTATATTTGAAATTGTTATAATGGCTATACAAGTTTTCAAATTCTAACACCAATTCTAACACCAATTTCAACACGTGAGACGTTGGGCTGCACAAGAGACTGATGAATACATGTGTGAAAAACATTCATCATCAAGTCACTGATACCTAAACTATCTCCTCTCTTGAATACATTAACTGACACACATGGTCCAAATCCCTTTTTGATTTGAAAATAAACTCAAGATTTTACCTTTTAGCTGCTTTGTGCAGAAAGTCCTCTGTCCGCAGAGGAGCCAACGACCTAATGCAGAATTATCTCGCTCTCACCCGGTGCTAATACCCAACTTAACGCAGTGAACTGTCCTTTGAGACTGCGTCGTGAGATGGATGTTCATAAACAGGGGGGCTCGTAAACGCTTGTCGCTTTTTCGGTCCTACCCTCTCCTCTTCTTAGCTTTCTCTCAGTCTGTGTTGTTTTCCTGTCTTTAACTCTGATTGTCCACCTCTGCTGTCACATGAAAAGTGTCTGACTGGCCCCCTTGATCTTGATAGAGTCGTGGTGTCAGTGGCGTGCCCACACAGGGGTCTCACCTTTGCTGAAACTGTCAGTTTAACACCTACATGTATTGTATTATTAAATTACTCAAGTATACAAACTAAGTAATATACCATTATTTCATGAAGTAAACACATGCATTTCGTTTTCTTTGAATACAGTAGTTGCATTATAATGTGGTGTTTACAAGTAGAAACAGTAGTAGTAGTATTATTAAAAGTAGAAGCAGTATTATTAAAAGTAGTTGTAGTAGCAGTAGTTTTACAAGTAGAAGCAGCAGTAGTAGTATTAAAAGTAATAGTAGTAGTAGTAGTAGTAGTATTACAAGTAGAAGCAGTAGTATTAAAAGTAGAAGCAGTAGTTTTACAAGTAGTAGTAGTACAAAAAGAGTAAAGCATATCTGATATGAGTAAAGTGTAAGAACTGACATTTGTTGTGTATGTGTCAAATAAATCTTTGCCACCTCAGATTAACAAAAAAGAGAAGTGTTTGTCTCTTATCAGTTAAGACGTTGGTGGTGTTGAGATAACTTGTCTGAATACTTAAATCCTCACTGATCTGAAGACAATGCAGGCAAAACAAAAATTCCCTTTGCAATTACAACATACTTCTGTCATTACATTTGACTTTAACCCCCATTTTTACTTGTATACAGTGTCACATGAAGACAAGTTAGATGTTTGCTTCCTGTTATGTGCTGAAGCCGTTTCAATTTAGAAAAAGAAAGCACCAGGGTTTAATGTGAAAATGCTTTATTGTTGTTATAGGGCACAGAGGTCGCAGTCTGATCTGTACGACTACAAAGAGATAATCAAACTCTCGTATGTTGCCCTGACACCTGTATGTGTTCAGTCTTCTTTTTATTCAAAATGCCCCTTTCCGTCTGAGGGATGTATGTACAGTAACTGTAACAAAGTCTTCTTGTAAAAACCAGAAAGTATATTACATCATTGTTCAAATTCAACACCATTTTACATTAAACAAAGTGTATTCCTGAACTATGACCCAGAATAGATTATTGTCTTTGAAAACAGCTAAATGTGACGACAATGTGGTGTTTGAGAGTTTCAAAATCGCACAATAAAGTCTTATAAAATCTTCCTGAGATTCCTGTTGCAAAGCTTATAGGACAGCAAAAACATGTTTAAGAGATTTTCGTTTTTTTTTTGCAATAACAAGTTCAATGTTATTTTACAAATGATTGTGCACAAAACCTGTAAAATGTTTTTTTTAAGACTCAAGTACCTTTCCAAAAAAGGATGACTACCTTTCTAGTAGGGTGATAAAAAAAAAAATCCACGATAAAATATATTTTGTTCCAACTCACCTTTTTTTGTTTGTATAAAATCCGTGCAAATCTTAAATATAAAAAAAGGTATAAATACAAATATATGCTCATACATACAGAAAATGGGCAGAAAGGTCGTCCTATTTGTTAACAAAAACCGCATGTTTTTAAATACTGTGTTGTAGCGCCATCTGCTGGTAGCTTCAGGAACATGTCCTTACAGAATATGACCTGAAAACCGGGAGGAATTAAATTAAACTAACAAACACTACAACTAAACCTATAAGAACAGAAAGAAGCAAATCATTTGAATGTTTGAACACAACTTTATGTCAAAACGTATAAGATCTGTTAATAATAATGTAGGCTTTCTCCGCTGTTTTGTTTTAGAGTGACAGGGCAAGAGAGAAGACTTTTCAAGATGGAATACAACTTTTAGTTGTTCCTTTACATACCAATGTTGATTAATGCATCTATATGGATATAGGCCTATTTAAAAAGGCTGCAGGAATAACAGATATTAATTGTATGTTGGAGCATCACGCTATTTATTTGTTTTGACTTTGGAATTCATTTAAGCGTTTTTAAAGGACCTATAGGTTACTGATCTTAAAGTATTCCTAACAATATTTCCTCAAGAAACATTTTCAAGAGAGGTGTTTTTTATGTGTAAGTGCAGACTGCTTTAAAAAAGGTATTGTACGCATTAGGACATGTTCTTATTGATTTCTTAAAATAAAGGTAAATATGAGCAGATGCAATGGAGGGCGGGGTCTCGTGATGCTGGAGGTCTACAGATAAACGGTTTGATTTTCCGCTGAATCTAATTTAGCTGGGAAATCACGCAGTGGGGATAAAGGGGAATACCAAGCCAACAACAACCTAGTTTCGTTGGCTTTGTCAGCATGTTTTCCACCGCAGATATAAACCGTAAAAAATCACATCATTAAATCTTAACCCCTAATCAACCCCATGTCTTGCTACAAAAAAAACTGGAATGATTTTTGTTAGATTCTATTATTTTACAGTAGCATTAAAAAGTGAAAACTTAAATTTATTTTGGGTTTCTGACAGGGCTGTTTTCATTCTTACAATACAACAGTCAGAACAAACACATTTGACTTGCAGTAAATTCGCATTTGAGACATGGATTTGATATTATCTGCAGACTATATTTTGATAAATATGCACACTGTAATTGGCATGTTCTTCTCATAATGGCAAAACATCGAACGGCCTGTTGCATTGAGGCTTGTTAAAATGACCAGATGTAAAGCATGTTTTGCATCCATTGGCCTCTAAATAAACGGTAATAAGCGTCAATCAGGACTGAGGTGCATCCCGTCTGCTGAAGCGGCTCTTTAATCCCCCCAGCTGGGTGTCTGCCTCCACACCGAGACCCTGGCCTTGTCTCTCCTGGATGTAGAGAGGCAGGCCGGGGTAGACACCCGGCGGGGGCAGGTATGAAGACCGCCAGGGCAGCAGGAAATTATTGCACACTGCGGATGGATTCATGTGGGGCAGCAGCCAGGATCTAGGTGACCGGATGGAGGCATGGTGGAGGGGGTCAGGTGAGGGCAGAAAGGCTCGGAGGGAAGACGCATGGGTGGATTTGTAGATGTCGTCGCTGGAGGAAACCTGTCGCTGAGCATCCATCTCTGCCTCTGGACAGAGGACACGGGGCCCGGAGAGGGGGGAGAAGCCTTGTGAGAAGAGGGAACTGTGTGGATTGAAACCACCCACACCTGTTGAGCTAAAGCGAGGAATCTTGTCCTCTAATGAAAATGCATTGCTGCCGTTGTTGCCCCAGAGCCCTGGCTGGAAAACGGCAGGTGATGAGGGCACATTGTATGTTGCAGAAGCAGGTTTTCTCCTTTCTGCACCCAGGCTGCTGTGGTAATGCATGCTGAGCAGCTTAGCCCGCAGCTGGGTGTTTTCCTCGCTGAGAGCCAGCAGCTGCCCATCCACTATCAGCTCGCTCAGCCTCTTCTTCTCCCGGGACCGCCTGGCCGCCTCGTTGTTATTTTTCCGCTTCACCCAGTAGTTTGAGTCCTTCTTCTCGTTGGGGATCATCTCCCTCTTGCGGCGGGTCACGCTGCTGCTGTACGCCCGTAAATTCAGGAGGCGTCGAGCCAACACGGAGGACTGGGTCACCGGGAGGAAGAGGCCCGGGTCAGGCTCCGTGCAGCCGCTGCTCTCCACCGAGGAGGAGGAGGGCTGACACGGAGCCACGGCCCCGGGACCGGTACGGCTCCCCGGTGTTGACATGGCACTACAGGAAAAAGTTTAAACAACTTTTTTTTTATAAAAATTACTCCTTAATTAATATCTTAAAAGACACTAAAACCTTTAATTTAATAAATATATAATGTGCAAATTAACAATAATACATGTTTAACTTTTTATTTTGAGTTAGACCTACTTTATGGAAATGATAAAGGTATTATTCTAATGTCATTGATTATAATACAAAACATTAAGTTAAAAAAGCAGATACATGAAATGTTGCATGTCTTTCAATAGCCCTAGCTCAATAACATGAACGATTTCAATTGGCTATGTTAAAACACAAATATTTCGCCTGCATTAAACTTAATATTCAAGATGAGTAGGCTACTTTAGCACAATGTTTAATTGCAGGATGTTAACATTTAGTGAAGTTTTGCATTGTGGTATGTAGCCCACCTGAATGATCTGAGTACTTTTGCCCCCACTTAAATAATTATTTTCGGCTTAACCGAAAAGATGACATGAAGTGTCTTAGCCCAATATTTATTTTGAGACATGGTTACATTCAACCTCAAGTAACCTTAAATAGCCAAAGTAGGCCAGTAGTTTGATAGCAGCAATGTTTTGTCTCCCACAAACCAATGCTGAATGTTCGACAGTGTTACAGAGATAAACCCGCCGCACTGACCTGAATGATATGCCACCTGTGAGAGGATTTGGAGGAAAGGATCCACTTTGCGAGAGCTTCTTGTAATTCTGCAACACACACAGTTAAGTACAGAGTTTGACGTTGCACTCGGTTATTAAGAAGTGTGTGGATGTTGAGACTGCGCTTACCTGTCAATCACAGACTCATCGGTGCTGAAGAAAGCAGAGCTGCGGGGCCGTGCGCACATTTACTGAAGACACGCAGCCAATCGCGTTGTTTCCTCGCGCTGTAATACCGTGGAAACTGATCGCAACTTCACTTTGGAGAGCGGAAGTCCAAGACAACCGTGTGGCCACGATCAAACCAACAGGTGATACTGAAATGAATCACTTTGGATCAGCTGCCCTACTTTTGTTTTTGTTGAACTATTTTACATTGATTCGCTCTTTAATCCGCACATTGTCTGCACAACAGTGCACGGTTGAAGCTTTATTTACTATACTGTACTTATAACAGAGTTTACAAAAGGGTTTGCATTAAAACCTGGGATACATTGGATTGATTGGCGATGAATAAAGTAGTAATTTCTAATATCTTGTAAAATAATATACAAATAAAAGGGATATATATATATATATATGTCCTAATTAACAATGTTGATTTAATGAGGTAAATAAGATTTAACCTGATGGCACTATAACACATCATTAATATCCTCAGTTACTATACCCAACCTGGTGTTGATACCAGTACATGCACATCTATGCAAACTGCCACACTGTAAATGCTTCATCTTTAATTCCTCCTCTGAGGCATGGTCTATCCCTTTGGTTTATCCATCCGTCTAAACAATACTTTAAAGAGTTTATGTTGACCTAAAAACATACAATGACAGTTATTTTTTAACTTATTATGCTTAATGTTACATGTACTAATGTTAAAGAGAGAGAGAGATCACCCCCAAAATCCCCCAAATACATATTATACCTCTTAGAGATATCAATCTAGATGGTTTGTTGTGTGTTATTGTGAGCTATTGCCTTCTTTCATATAACATATAACCACATGGCTCTTACCTTGAGGTGCTAAGGGTGCCAAATCGACTGCAACGTCTCTTTCCAGAAATCCTGACTTGGTTAAAGACCGAACATTCGGACCAAAACTCACCTTTTTAGACTAGCTTTTAACATGTGATTGATGCCGTGTCCTTTTGATAAATGTGGTTTTATTGCTCGATTTTAAATATTTGTATCTTCTTTTTTTTGTACCTCTGTAAAGCGTCTTTGAAAGTGTTTGATAAATAAAATATATTATTATTACTCAAAATAATCCTCCATCCTTGTTTTGAGCCGTTTTGTGTAGCAACTATTACTGTATCACTTTGCAGCATTACGCTTGCTGCAGCTACTAGTGGAATAAAGGTGCATAATGGAGTGAGAAGTAAACATTAATTGCGTCTTTCATAACAAAACGGCTTCTCCCCTGAAGTTGTGAAGACCCCTTATCGGAATCGCACGACCACACTCAAAAATGAACTGAAATGGAAAACCACACTCTATTGTATAAGATCACTTTTTTTGCAGTTTAGATTTAGCGGTGGTTTGCTGAGTTTGGGGGCTGTCCACATCAGGTTGGAAGCTGCATCGTCTGCTCGGTGTTTTTTATAAAACTCCAGCAGAATTTTCTGTCTGACTCACTGTAACCACAGATGCCAAAGTCAACCATGTTCCAACAGTCAGGTTAATCTTTGAGTAAAACCTAATCGCAAGATTTGAAAAGAGTCCATCAAATATCAGAAGAAGCAGAAAACAAGTTGTATTTATTACTATTCCTCCTCCAGGTGTATTATACATGTCAAATGTTTCACCTTTTAGGGATGAATTAATAAGAATGCAGAACTGATTTATTAAATTATTCAACATTGGCAGCACTGACGTTATCTGTGCCCTTTGAGGTTGACTCATTGTCACTGTTTCAATGAACTTGTTTACAAAGTATTGTGGTATATCAAGGTATTCCTGTATAATTTGTACCACCGCCACTTTCTCATTGTCGGGCACCCCCCACTTCCTGACTGCATGTTGCAGAGGATTGCTCTGCATGTGTGGGATCTATATTGAGCAGTACATTTCCTTTAGGTTTGGTAACAATAGTTACGTTTCTCACTTATGGGACATTCCCGACTACACTTAGCTGCTTGTTACCTAAACATGCAGTGGGCCTTCCCCGCAAGCCTATGTTAAAGGTAACTGCTGACTTTATAATGACACTTTTCTTATTGTCAATTAGTGCCTTTTTAAAAGACCAAAATCAACAAATCTTTATTATTATACTTTCTCTATAGTTTGAACACTTACTTTCCCAGCATAAGACACTGAGCCCATGTGTTCACACAAAACACATCAATCTTTAAACAGATCATGAATTTGTTATTTAGACATTTAAACAGGCTGCATGATTTTTTTTGGTCACTATAATTGTTTAGCTAACATATCAGGAATGTATTTACTTGGGACTATCTCAAAAGTGGATTAGGCCATACCCTTTTTATGTACCTTGTATATCTTTGCTTTTCATTTAGCCAGTATTCCTCTTAATCTGTGCTTTTGCTAGCACTTACTATCCATAATGAGTTTGTGTTAAGCATTGTGTTGAGCTATTTTCCATCATTTCCTGGTTAAAGTATAATGTTTGTTTATGTATTTACTCTTCAGGCTTTCCAGTAGTTAAAGGGAGTGCCAATCAAACCTTATCTTCACGCAATTGTGAGTCAATTTGATGTGATTTCAACACACTAGGATTCCTCTGAAAGGTTATAAACTATTGAATGAATGCCTTGTACTCGATATACAGTAGAGGAACACTGTTTATGCTTTTCCTACAGAAATTGGAGTCGTCTCCTTAAGATTTAGTCAAGTTGCATCCGACCAAACCTGTAAGAAACTGTCAACATGACTCGGTTATTGAGGATAGGTCTTTTCATTATTCCTGTGAACTTTGAGGCTTGTTTTGTTTGTTTTGTCACCCCCCCTCCACACAACACACACACACACTCCCACCCAAAAACTACCATGTTACTTGACAATCTGCTGTACATTGAAACACCACTTCAATGGAAATACCGCTGCTTTGTTTTGGCTGTATCTTAACCCATTTCCCACTCTATGTATATCATGTCAACCCTTATTTAATTTGTTTTTTAAAGGGGTCTGCTGGCTTGATTACTTCGTTCTTAACTCATGGCTGACTGTTTACCACTTCTTCTTTTGTTTTAAAGGAAGTTAATTTGAGGGTCCTGCAGTGTTGCACGCATATATCGGTAATATAAGGCCCTGGGAAATAAGAGCATTAAGAAGCTTCCTAGAGACCAGGGCTTTCTCACACTCACTGAAGTCAGGGTAATGCACTGCTCAGATCCTGTGAGATACAGAATCAAATGAGAACAACCCCGCTCACATTTAGCACGAGGTGGAAACTTGGCCTGTATTTTTAGCTGTGTGATGCATTGCATAGAGATGATTAATGTATCTGTTTTGGGTGGGGTCTTGTCGATCGTGCTCGAGTGTAAGGTTTGTATAAAGTGCTGATCATGAGGCGGTTCAAACGTGACATTATGCGGTGCTCCTTGATGCTTTCTCAAGTCACAGTTAACGGTAACCTAAGAGAAAGAAAATATTTAGATCATTGGTTAATCTTTGTGGACAACAGCACGGTGATAACAATCAAGAAACAAACCTCACTGTGCTTTACTGACATGACATGTTTGAACAGCTTGCTCTTATTTCCATTTTGTAATGATCAAAACATGAGGAAGTAGCACTCGTCATCTTTTCCTCTTGTGTGTGTTCTCACTGGCTTTTGATGCTGCGGTGAGAATGTTGATCTTGATGTGACCTTGAATTATTACTAATTTTAACAGAGCTCAGTTCCTATTGGCCGAGTAATGTAACTTAAGGTATACTGTTTGACCTGCCAGTTACTTTTTTTTTACACGCACTAGCAGAAACAAACTGTTCACACACATGGTTTATATGTATTTACTTTTCAGCTACGAGGGTCCTACATGTGGCTTACGCATAATTTAAAGGATATGATCAAATGTTTTAAGTCTCTCGCTGTAATAAGGTGTTAATTCCTGTGAGAAATGATTTTGTCTCGACTTACTGTGAAGAAGTCCCTTTCTTATGCGAATCCGAATAAGTGATGAAGTGAACACATCATATCAGGCTTGAAAGATATCAATATGATACCATAAATATATATTGTTTTTTGCAAATAAGAACTGTGGATAGTGTTCCCCATCTCTTACATTTGGAACATATTAGGAAGGGTGCTTTACATCAAGTATTATCAGGAGAGTAACAGCTCTTTCAATGTGACAGTATTGTTTTAAACTATTAAAGCATTTATTTAAGCATTTTATTCATCAGATCTTTTTGAATCAGTTTTTTATATTTAAAGCTATTTGAATAAATATGTCAAGTTATTTAATGTTTTCTATTTGGCTTGGTTGTATTTTTTTTGTTATTTTAAATTACTGAATGAAATGTGTAGTACATACATGTTTCATTTAGAGCTATCCTTTGTCTTTCCCCCCACATTTGCAAAGTAGACATTTGACAATCCCCCACAGGCTTTAAAGGCCTATTCTCCTGTGTGTTTAATGTGAGGTAGCCATGAAGGGAGCAACGGTTAAACTGTGGTGGAAAAGCCTGGCCTGTTGAGCACCATCGGTTCATCTCCCTAACCACTGTGCTGCACAGACAGCTGTAACATCAGATAGGAAAGATCGCCCTAGATATGCACACGCTCACACATACAGTACACACACACACACACACACACCTAGAGACGTAGAGACGTAGGATACACACCTTTAGCTGTTGATATGTGGCATTTGTGGGAAGAGAAGAGACAAAGATATGAAACCACAAATAGTACATTTAACTGACATTTAGTGAACCTATACATTCAGTAAGCTTCCTTTTTTTTCAGACGTGCTATTGTTGTCAAATTCACCCCCTGTGACCTTCATCTGATGGTTAAACTGCAGTGGGTGCTACCCTCCACCAGGTGGCATTAGACTCATGAAGAATGCACATTTGAAACTACAGCATGTTGTCCAGTTTCTTAACTGAGGCACTTTATATACTGTA